ATATGTCTACCCTTGGGCACAATTGTCTAACTGTTAGTGGCGGCAAACTGCGGCTTGGCAAAACGCGGCTCGCGAGCCACATGCGGCTCTTTGGCCCCTTGAGTGTGGCTCTTCCACAAAATACTGGCTCTTCCACAAAATACCGGCTCTTCCACAAAATATTGACTTCTGAGCGTGGGCCATGAAGTTTCAATCACACTGTACGTGCATGCCCACACATGGTATTTTGTGGAAGAGCCACACTCAAGGGGCCAAAGAGCTGCATGTGGCTCATGAGCTGCAGTTTGCCATCCACAAGTCTAACACAATAAACACATTGTAGAGTATCAGTTGTTTATCCTCCTGATCTCATGGCTGACTGGGAGCTAGGCTCGCTGCCACTGCCCCATGTCACAAGAGAATATCATACACATATTATTAGTTCAGGGGGAAAAAAGCAAAATTCAAGTACCATTTCTACTAAATGTGTATTGCTTTCACACCAGTAGAAAGTTAAAAAAAAAAAGAAAAGTAAGTCGAGGACCGTCTGTACTTTATTTTATTTATTCCAAGATACATCCTTTTTCACATCTCACATTTATTAAACCTGGATGGAGCCTACTATTGATACTATCATATAATAAATTCAGAGTTCTTAATGATTTTTCTGGTAGTGTGTAAATTATGATGTATCTCACAACCTATGGGAACTCTGAGTTGACCAAATATGATAATTCTTTGATTAAAGATGATGAGATTGGCTGCTGGGCTGACAACTTGAGCTTCTTGTCTTCTGAGTCCTTATTCCAAATGGGTACAAGGAGACATGATAACATCTCATGGGATATTCTGATATGACCTGTGAAGAACACAAGCGATTTTAGCTCTATCTATGAGATACTTGCACACCTATTTCATAGCAGCATTATGCGCAATAGCCAAGAGGTAGAATCAACCCAAGTGTCCACTGAATGGATAAACAAACATGTTATATAAATGCGGTGGAATATTATTCAGCCTTCCCTAAAAAGGAAAGAAATTCTGACACATGCTACAACCCGGATGAATCATGAGTACATTATGCTAAATGAAATAATCCAGTCATAAAAAGGCCAATATTCATGATTCCACTTATATGAGGTGTCTAAAGTAGTCAAATTTATATAGACAAAAACGAAGAATGTCCCACCCCACCTCCAGTATGCAAATTTAATGGCCATCTTTGTTGGGTTAATTTGCATACCCTTCTGATTGGCTGATGGGCGTAGCAAAGGTAGGGTCAATTAGCATCTTTGTCTTTTATTAGTGTAGATAAAATTGGTATGAAAGAGTGGGAGGGTGACAGAAAAGAAAGATTTTTTTAAAAAAAAACTTACCAGCGCCTCCAAAACCATAAAGTAAGACATATCAAAAGAATCAAGGTGGGCAATATCACTGCCAAAAATATCACAGTGAGGGAGGTAGAATTTCCTGGCAATGGGAGAAAACACAAAGATGTCACTTCCAAACCCATCCTCTGAACCATGCCAACCAGGGTAGCTGTGGTCATTTTCTTTTTGACAGTCTAAGGGAAAAGAGGTCACAGCCCCTGACTATATGGTCAGGTGTTGCATGTTTTATAAATTGCCGTAGCACACCAGTTGAAAACCACTGCCACAGGCCTCTCTCTCTCTCTGTTTTCCACCTCCCCCCTGCCCCAACTCTCTCTCTCTCTCTCTCTCTCTCTCTCTCTCTCTCTCTCTCTCATTAAATCTCACCACTTTGCCAGCCTTTCCCTCTGTGTTTGAGGACCATCCCCTCCCCGTGGGGCCCTAGTTCTCACCCCAGTAGAGGACGATGTCCTGGCCTCCGAGGCTGCTGTGTCTCACTCGGCAGGTCAGGCCAGCTGCCTCCCCAGCCGCCACGTCCAGGGTCACTCGGAGATGCCACATCCCGTCAGCATTGGGCAGGACGTCGCCTTGCTGAGCGCCCGGCTGCTCCTGCTGCCCCCGCATCCACCTCACCCACACAGGTTTGGGGTAGAATCCTGAGACGTGGCACACCAGCAGCAGACAGCCAGGGCCAGGAGGGGGGCCACTGGACAGCCAGGCCTCGGGCTTCACTGGGGCAGGAAGGAGCAGGGACAGTGTCAGATTATGACTCTCATCTAGAACATAGGGACTCTGAAACCCACCGGTTTGGACAGCAACCCCTTCTGTTCCTCAGGAAACCAAATAATTTACCGAGTAAGCCCCTCTCTCCTACCTCCTACTGGCAGGTAGAGTGGTGGTGGGACGTGCAACAGGGAACCTGGGGAGAGAGGACTAACCTTGCCTTTGCAGCTCCGCCTTCCCTGCTTCCAGGACGCTCCAGAGAAACCTGGGGCAGGTGTGATAGAGGAGATTCCCGATGATGTCAGAGATGCCTTGGTACTGCGTGTAAACCCTGCAGAACGACTGGGCGTGGCTGACGGCCTCCGCAGCAGGCACACATGTCCCATTCCAGAGGCTCATGAAGTCCACTCCCCCTAGCGCTCCCCGTAGGAAGCTGACCGTGGCCTCGCCCGCGCGCAGCTCACAGCCTGCTGTGCCCTGGATCTCAAAGGGATCTGGAGAGGAGAAAAACAGAGGAAAATCCATTTACAAGCCAACAAGAAGGAAAGGGATGGAGAAAGGGCCTGCCATAGGGTATTTTATTTGGGTGGGAGAAAGGTCTGAGGTGTAAGATGATGAGCCAACAACAAATTCAGGACAGTCCTATGCAGCATAACCACTTTCCAGCCAACAACGAACCACATGTATGAGGGTGGTCCCATCTATTCTAACAGAAGGGTAATATGCTAATTAGACGAGGAGACCTTCTGGGAGACCTTTCAGACGTCCTTCCAGACAAAGCCACAGTGGCGGGGCCGAGGCAGAGGTGGTTAGGGGCGATCAGGCCAGGAGGGGAGGGCAGTTGGGGGAGGTCAGGTGAGGGGGGAGTTGGGAGTGA